AGTACATAGGAAACTAAACCGCAGTTCTGCGCACGCGCGCCAGTAAACAGCTGAGGAAGAAAGCAGAAGAAGAAGAAGAAGAAGGGCGGTAATGCACCTGAGAAGTTGTTTGCCAACCGCCATAAAAAGAAAGAAGAAGAAGAAGAAGAGGAGAAGAACTCATGCAGTAGATCGGTGAAGGAGTTTGTAGGACACTGTGACACTTTTTTTGGAAGAGAGAGACTTATAAATCCCAATTTTACAAAATGCCTCGTACGTGTGCTGTACGGGGTTGCGACAATAAGCAGAAGATAGCGTCACATCTTACTTTTCACTCAATTCCAACTAGAAATCCGGAGCGGATGAAACAATGGATAGGTGCTCTGAACATGGATCCCAACACCCCACAAGAAGCAGTCAAGAGGATGCTAGTTTGCTCAGAGCATTTTTCACGGGACGACTACTACGAAAAACTGGAATTCAGAACCCAAACAATGAGACTTTTCTTGAAGGACACGGCCATCCCATCACTCGGTGTCACACAGACAGTAAACGAGGCAAGTACTTGTGTTTTGTTTTCACATTGTAACGCTTAGCACGGCATATTATCTTGCGCCAGACAAGATAAATAGGACGGCCATTTTACTGTATTCGCCTCGTAACTCCGGGGGTCACGTCTTGTTTCCCCTTATTGAGTAACGTTACAACTATGTTGGCAGGGAAAACCAGTCTGAGAATACAACTGCGCTATTTTTATCTGTAAAATCAAACCAAGTTATGGTAGCTCTGAAGTGCATGTAGTAAGCTACATGACAGTCATAACATACATAACGCTACAAAAACAACAATACCAAAAAAACGATGTATGTTTACATTGTTTGGCCCAACAGCCTCAAGGCTAGCCCAAGTAATTTTTTCCAAGGTTACAGTATGCAATGGTTCAGAATATGTATCTATATATTTTTGTTTATTACATATGTTCATCTTTTATGAAACCTGGACAGTGTACAGTAATTGGATTATGGTACATGAATTATGCCTAATACCATTTTTTTTCCTACTGAATTTCAATACTTTTACCAACTAAGATGTTATTCTTTTCATTTGTCATTGAATGTGTAGGGTATTGGATGATCTGTAATGAATTGCATTCAAATGTATTGCCTTCATGTTTGTATTGTGAGTAATATGAAAAGTAATCCTTTTTTGTTGAATAGTGTTATCTTACCTATTTCAGGACGCGGTGAGAGATGTCCCGCTAGATCCGACAGAATTGGTGGCTGATTTCAGCAATTGTGCCAGTGGTGTACCACAGTCAACCCCCCACAAAAGCCATGCTGCTGAGGGCCCCTTACTCACTCTTCAGCTGACTAGTCCTGAGCAGACAGGTCCACGCACAAAGCCCTCAAGATCTGGGAAATATTTTGCCCTGGCACCAAGTTGGAGGGAACAATCGGTATGCTAATTACTCTGTTGTCATGTCTACTTTGTGATAAATGCAACAATTTTTGAAATCCATCTCTTTGTTGTACAGGGCATTGCATCGTCATCCACAATGACTGCTTCAGGCAGGGCACGAACAAGCCTACTATTTCATGTAAGTATATGCTACAAGCCTAGGAGCCATGACAATAAAAACAGATTTATCAATTTATTGCATCATATTTATATTTCATGCTTTTATTTAGCAATTATCCAGAGCACCAAAAATTCAGTAATTGAACAGGCAGATATTTGTATATTCTCCTTTCTGAGAAATGCAGTGAGAAACCGTCAGTGCTGAAAAACTATACAAGTGAGTAGAGAGACTAAATATTGTCATGTTGATTTGCCAACCACAGGAAACTAGTGAAAAGGAAACAGATGAAATGGATATTACTCCACAGTCATCTGCCTTGGACATCAGTATGACTTCAGAGCCTGGTGATGACCCTGCTGATTCCAGTTTTGTCCCCTTTACAAGCCCCTCCACCTCAGAAAAGGGATCTAGCTCGGAAAGCGCATCCAGCGTTCCACAAAAAACAAGAACATGGATGGAAAAGAAGTGGATAGTGAATGAGTCCAGACTTATGGAACTATTTCAAAGATGCAGTATTTGTGGAGCTGAAATGTGTGACAACAGCCTAGCATCATCTGGCAGCAGACTCAAAGTGAGATGGCAATGCAACAACAGTCACACTGGAGAATGGGAGTCATGTCCAAATGTCCGTGGGATGGCTGAAAACAATCTGCTTACAGCAGCAGCAACGCTGTTCACTGGTGCAACTTACACTGACATTGCTGATTGGGCAGCGGTTTTGAGGCTTCAACTGCCCAAGAAAACCACATATTATAACATACAGTCTAGCTACCTGATTCCTGTCATTGAGGAAGCATACAAGATGCAGGAGAATGCCATCTTTGCACGGCTCATCTGCCAGACTCTGGATGGTGAGGCGGTGCATGTGTGTGGAGATGGAAGAAGTGATAGCCCGGGCCATTCAAGCAAATACACAACCTACTCCTTCATGGATGACTCCACAAATGAAATCATACTCTTTGAATTGATTCAGGTAAGAAAAACACAATAATAGACAAAAATATAACAGTTATTGTGCTACGAAGTCTCTTTCAAAAATGTAATCACCAGTAACTCGTAAACCTTTCTTGTTCCCCCAAGGTGACCTAAGCAAAAAGTTCTGTTGGTATGGAGCCATTAGGTTTCAGGAAAGGACTGGAAAGGCTCTTGGATGAAGGGATCCGTGTAAAGGTCGTAACCACTGACAGACATCCATCCATCAGGAAAACTTTGAGAGAGACTTTTCCAGACATAGACCACCAGTTTGATCCTTGGCATATAACAAAAGGTTGGTCTACTTATAACAATATTCTATGTGCCCATATAGCACAATACCTGTCACTTAGTATAATGCTGTGCTGTGTTTTCACTGAGAACAGCCATAGAAAATAATTTGTCTGTGTGTGCCATTTCTGAATTGTAATGTCCGTTTCTAATCCTTTTCCGCTTTTATTTTAGGAATAAAAAAGAAATTGGTCCAAGCCTCTAAACGCAAGTACTGCAAAGACATTGGTCCTTGGATAAAGAGCATAACCAATCACTTGTGTTGGTGCTGCAGCACATCGAAAGGAGATGGAGAGGTAAACACAATCACACCTCGTTGCAGACAGCCCTACAGCATTTCACTTTTCCTTGTGGACCTAGACCATACAGTACCTCATTTTCAGTACTTCATTCCTAAAATGATGAAACATTATTACTGATTTGCTGACATGTCTATGGCATACAATGTTTCTAATTTTATTCAGTGGATAGTTAATATGGAATGTTACATCAATGCTACAATGATTTCTTCTTGTGGGGGAATGTTATTGTCAGGAGTTGATTCGACGATGGAAGTCACTCCTTCATCATATCCGTGGAGTCCATCGCTGGGAGGAAAATGGAGAAGAGCACAAATGCTACCACCCCGATTTGTCAGCAGATGAGCAAAGGAAGAAGAGATGGTTGTTGGAAGACTCAGCTGCCTTCAAAGCCTTATATGAGGTGGTGATGAACAGACGTCTCCTTCAAGATTTGGAGCAAATGACGCTGTTCAAGCACACGGGTATGTATATATGTGTTGGAAGATAGTGAAAAGGCCCAATAAAATGCAATAAGATGTAACTGTGTGTTCAGGAAATCTTTCTGTGAAAATGATTTACAGTAAATGGGGTGGTTATGTAGCACCACAGACAAGAGGAGCATTGGTATGCATACTATTCTACGTTTTTAGTTTTTATACATAAGACATAAATACATTATTCCACAATGACAATCTTCAACAGGTCATGCACACACACTGTGATAAATATTGCATAAAGTATGTGGTTTATAGTTTGTAGTTTGTAATGTCAATTATGTTTTTTGTGTTTTCAGGAAACCTTGAGGTTTTCCATAATGCCCTCCTGAAATACTGTCCAAAGCGCCTGCATTTTGACTATCCTTCGATGCAGGCACGCACAAGGTTGGCTGTCATGGATCACAATGAGAACCACAACACAAAGCGTGAACAGGCTTTGACTGCAACAGGTAAATACTAAGAATATAAGTAGTGGCAAGTTTACACAAAATACCTAAAAAAGATCATTTTAGTTTTTGAGAATTTTCATTGCACGAGTTGTCTACCGTAATCACTGTAAACTAGAGCTATATAGGACTTATTTCATTCTGCTCAAGGCAGTAAATAAAATGTTATGGAACAGCATCTGTCAAGAAGTCATTGAACGTTTTGAAACATCTCAATTCATGCTTGTATATCATTTCAGGCCTCCAAAGACACAACCTTGTCTTTCAGAAGCAGTCCAAGCAGTGGGTTTCCCGGCCAGTTTACAAGGAGACAACTCAAAGATTCAGAGATGACCTGATGGAGCAAGTACTGCACAGACGGCTGGATCCCTCAGTCATATTCAGAGACTCCACATCAAAAGTGAACGTCCCCCGTCTAGCTGCCAACATCGCTCCATTTCCTAAACCCAACAAGGAGGATGTCATAAAAGCACACAAATCTAGGTACACAGGCTCATCAGAGGAATAATATTCAAGTTGCATGTTGCCCCCCCCCCCCCCCCCCTTTTTAAAAACCTGTACCATCTTCCGTTGTAAACAACAGGGCTAACCACGGTGACACCCAAGTGCCTTCCACACTATCCCAAAAGCAGTCATAAGTGTGCCTTATGATTTTGGTGTGATACATTGTAAAATAGGATGCTACAGTGTGATATTTTTTTTTATTTGGGACAATGTAATATAGTGTAATATAGTGTGATGTAATGTGACATAATGTTATAGTTTTATAGTGTGACATACAGTAATATAGTGATATAGTGCTACTTTTTCTGTCCCAAACCAGTCTGTCGACTGAACAAATAACTTGATTACAAAAGACTGCAGGTTCATCCATACCTGTCCATTTACCGCAAAGTATTCATTCTTACCTCATACATGTACATATTGTAAATTAAATAACACAGTTTATCATTTTGTGAGTTGTCATTTTACTTTTGAAAATTTGATCATGTTATTTACAAGTTGTACATTGAAATGTTTGATAAAAATAGCTTACAGATGTTATTACACAGCAATCTCAAACCCTGCCCTCTTCCTGATCCTCCCATCACAACTGTTGATGTCCTCAAACAAACAAGGAAAACAGTTATGGTGGAAGGATTGAGAGAAGAGGGCAGTGTTGGAGATAGATGAACTTGTCACACAACAAAAGAGAAACTATTTTGAAATTATTTAGCTGTCAGAAGGTTGAGTATTGAACTAATATATGGTGTGTATTCTATTTACAATTTCAGGAGTCACCTGTCTGTTCACAGATTGTTACTACACTGCATGTAATAATAACAACATAATGCTGTATTGAAACTTTTATTAGGGTAAAAAGAGAGTATTATAGGAAGGTAGTGAACACAATTATTAGCCAGCAGATATGTCACAAGGATATGAATAGTGAATGTATCAACCAATTGTGTGATCAAGACAAGTCTTTATATAGTGTTTTGATAACTGGAATGGCTTGTAAGCTTTTGGGTCTACAACATATCCATAGCATCCTGTGCCTCTTGGAATCCTTGGTATGTTCCCGTTGGTGAGGGATATCTTCTACGAATAGCACTGACAACACACGATGGCAAAGGTTTACAATTGCCTTTCCCCAACGTTTCTCCCTTCAGGGCCCACTCCAAAGCAATGCGGTAGGACACCAACCTGTATTGTCTGAGAAACAAGAATTTTTTTAATCAATAACCACAAATACGAAAACGACTGTAACTTTTTTCTCTATACATGTAGAGACTAACTGTTTATACAGCTTGCTATATACAACAATATGTGCCCCATGCATCTTTATTATAGTTATAATGATTATATTATAATTTATAATAAGATTATAATAGTCACTTACTCTACGGACAACTGTCCGTTAGGTCCAGACGGCCTGGGGCGTTTTTTCCAGTTTATTCTGGGTAGATGGAAAAAAGTTTCAACAACTGCGGGATTTACTAAAGCTGGAAAAGCATCATTCGTTGTGACACAATCTCTTTGTGTATTGTCCTCTTCGCCAGATATATCAAGCCTCCCCATCGATGGCAGCACCAACTCCCACTCAGTACAGCAGAAGCACTCGTTTTCTGTCGGCATAGGTTGACAAGCCCCACATCTACACCACCAGTCCATGCCGATTCTGACTCTCTCCTCGGCCCCAGGCTGTTCGACTGTCTCAGCTTCTCTTCGTGCACGCTCAGCTTCCAAAACATGTAGTTCCTCCTCTGTATATTCTGGTTCAAATAGGTAAGGTTGTGGATCTTCGTCAGTCCCTAAAAAATCATCTTCGTCCTCTCTTACAAAGTTGGCCATAATCCGTAGTTGCAATCTTCTTCTTCTCCTAAACAGAGGCTTTGTTCTGTTTACCTACTTCCAAGCACGTCCGCGGTGGTTTGCGCATACGCAAAAACTGCGGTTTAGTTTCCTATGTACTTCTTTCAAAACTTATATAAAGTGTTAATCTTAGTCTAAAAATAGATAACGTAACATAACGCGGTAAAAACGAGTCACAACAAGCACACAGTACCATTTAGAGTTGCTGAAGAGTTTATCTGATGACTGCAGGCAGAGGCAGGCTAACAATACCCATTGACTCCAAGCATTTGAGCTAAGCTAATTAGCGGTGGGCGAGCTCTGCCCGGCTCTCCCTTTTTACTGCACATATAGCCGAAAGAATGGTATCTACCTGCTTGTCATGGACTCGGGAGTGAGGCAAGAGATGCAAACAAAAAAAATGTTGGCGTATCCCTTTAAGTCTCATTCACTTTAATCTATTTTAAGTTTATATGTTCCAATACTTTTGCTCACCTAAAAATTTTGTGTTCCATTACAAATGATGCTATCTTCTAAGTTGTGTATCAGATCCAGATGTAAATACCTGGAAATAAAAGCTGAAATGTTGATCTCTTGTCTCATATTCATCTTTTGATGTCAAACCCAAATGTTTTCAGTCTACAACAAAAGTAAACGAATTGGACTCACTGTTCCAATACTTTTGGAGGGCACTGTATAGGGCTAGTACATCTTTTTCCTCACCAATAATAGCCTACTGGTTCTCTGTTGGAAACAGCCGATAAAGTTTTCGTTAGCCGTTGCTATCCTGCGCACCTGCATGGCGTGGTGATGAACTGTCTAATTGATTTCTGTTTGCGTGCTATCTTGCGGGCCTGCACGGCGGAGTGATACTGGCCAGAAAATAGTCCCAATTGATAGCAAGGTCTGATGTAATGCGGGAATGTCTTAAAATTATTGAAACAGTCTAACAAAACACATGCATACTTTTTTGTAGCTTAAAACCTTTTGGTTACGTGTCCCCCTTATACCTTCAGAACTGCTTTTTCTCCGGTAAGCTACGGGCCATTTCTCAGAGCAGGAGGCTTGTTGACAGTAGTGACACCGTCACATCAGAGCTACAGATGGTCAGCGTTTCACACAACTTCATGTCCAAAAACCTGAACTATCACTTTAACCTAGGACGTGTTTACATTCCTCAAACTGGATGTGATGCTATCAGGTGGATGAGGGGGTGATCTGCAGGAAGGAAATATTTGGGGGTAAGCTACCATTATCATGCATGTCTGCAAAACATGCAGCTGAATGCTCTGCTGCAAACCACTATTTCATTCTGTCAGTTTGACAAAATACTCAATATTCTCTTTCTACATATTCAAGTCTTTTTTTTTTGCTTTGGTCCAAAGAGTAAACTAACATAATTCACAGGCAAGTCACTCCCCTGTGGTTTTTCTGGGATGCTCCTCTGGGTTCATTCAAGTTACATTTGCTAAACTGTCCAAAGAAATGCCTGAGTAAACATCCACTCAAACACAGAGGAACAGCTGCTCCAGGCTGACACGTCACTCAAAAACACAGCACCCCCCCGATACCTCTCATCTGAGGAAAGTACCTGTGTTTATGCTTTCCTTCCGTCTCATAGCATTTACTGAAACAGTTAAACTGGATTAGAATTCAACCATAGCTGATTCACATGATGGGGCTCAATGACAGCTAGGCACATGCCATCGAACTGTATCTTCCAAATGTCTTTGATTGATTTGCTTTTGAAATGATGACATGTGGAAGGAAGGAACTAAATCAAACCTACCACTGATGACTTTCAGCACATGTGGGGTTCAGGCTCACTGCCTCCTCACCAACTTTCTTCCCTAAGAGGAAAGAAAGGACAGACAGTAGATAGTGATGCTCCACTGGAACGTACAAGGACGTTCTCACACAGCAAAAGAAGAGAGGGTGGATTAGTAGAGTCAAGGGGTGTGTTGACTGAGAAAACAAAACAGGATATGCATAAATCAAGAAACATCACCGGGCACCAGATTAAAGCAATAAAAACAAAAGTGATATGTAACACAATCCAAGAAGAGAGCTCAGTTTTAAATCCTTCATCACTCAACGGTAAGTGTCTCATTCCAGTGGCTCTATTAATATCTCAGTGAATGTTAAATATGACGCTCTGTTGCTTTGAATCTATGTCTCTAATGTCAAATGCTTTGACACAGGTGTCTTTGCAGGAAGCACCTGGCCAGCTCTGATTAGAGGCACATTGATGAGGAAGGATTACAGAGAAACAGGTCAATCCAGTCTGAACTTCAGTAGAATCAGCCTCTGTTTGAGATTTGGAAAAAAAGCATTATGGTCTACGCTACAGAGTCTTAGAGTGTAACACAAGACAAGAACGGAAAGTCCTTGTACCCTGCTTCTCAAGAGCCTGTGGGAGATCAGTGAGAAAAATGTTTGTCATCACGAAGATGACATTATTGAGAGCATGTGGAATAAACATTCGGTATAGCTATTTCACACTGATAGGTCAGGCTGTGATAGATTACCAAATAACTTTCCCTGTATGTCACATCATGTAAGATGGCTTTAAAAAACACCTTGGTCACAATCTGTGTTAGACTACATTAAGTGTTCTGAGCCGTGGACTTGTCTTTCGTCCAATATAGAGCACTATTCATGTCTTTCTAACAACTGCACAGTGTAAAGAGGCTTTTGAAGGCCCAGTCTTCAATTGATGCACAGTGCTCTTTCCACCACAACAGTCACACATTTTGCTTTGTTACAAGGCCAGCATAACAGATGTGGTTACAACACCTCACACTCAGAGGGGGATGCATGACAAATGAGCTACAAGGTTTAGTAATGTACCTGTTTCTGCATGGGTCTTCTTCTCCTCCAGAGTGGAACTGATGTCGTGAACATCACAGTAAGCTCGAGTTAGCCGCCAAAGAAATGTTGAGTTCTGTCCAAACTACAGAGACACATCAGCATATTAAGACACACTGCTCTGTACTAAGATACATGATTATTAACATCTATACATTGAGTGTTTGAAGGAGTCAACAATCAATTCAACAAACCTCCTCTCTCTGCTCCAAAAGGAGGTTGAGACATTCCCTTTTGTCAGATTCAGTGCCCTGGCGCAACCCGTCGATCCTCTCGAGGAGGACACATAGCTTATCTGCAGGTTGTTCTTCATCGCTTTGTTCTGCATCACTTAAATCGTCTTCCTCAGAGTCTGTCAGTGCAGTCATATACCTGAAAGCACAAACAAACACAGAGCACAATGTGTTGGTAAAAGGAAACAGTGTACCGTCAGTTTGCTGTCAGCGTGTGCAATTAAACTTTACTGATGTGGATTAGAAAGGTGAGCTAAATTACCTAGGTGGTTCCAACCACCAGGCCAGACTGTCTCCATCCTGCCATCAGCGAGATGTGCAACTTGGCCTCAGGAAGCATCAATAAACAGTCTGAATGCTGCCAGTTTCCCTGAATCACAAGACCATGGCCTGTGTCCCAGTAACTCAATCTAAAACCATCTTCAACTTGTGAGGTGGAATGAAAACACCTCAGCTGAGAAGTTTTTTCAGATCATTCAAAATCCTGTCTTAACGAGCATTTTTACAAGCCGTTTTCTGCCAGGTACTGATTATAAAGGATCAATCTTCACTGCCTGTTTACACACAAATGGCATCGGGTTTGTTTACATAAGTAGGTCACTTAATTGTTTATAAATACTAGCTGTTCAGAAACTCTTGACGTAGATACCCAAAGGCTTTTTTCACGAACACAGGGAGACTTGTTTGTCGGGGTGAGGCACGCAACACACGCATTAGATGTTTTATAGTGCCCTTTCAACTACTATAAGTATGTACAAACACCTTGAGCTAACACTTCAGAAAGAGCAGTAAAAAAAAATGCTATATTAATAGTATAGGTAAAAATGAAAGACACAGACAAGGGTGAAAATATGAAAAGCCTCTATTAAGTGTTGGCAGCGGCTACATGTGCGTCATTGGTGGTTAAGGAATATTTTGGGCTGCGAGCCATGGTTCTGGAGGGATGTGTCAGAGCGGGCCACAGACAGAAACATCGTGGACCCAACAGGTGCCTCGTGCCGGAGGCTGCTTCCTGACTCCACCCCAAAACACACACCTTCAACCCTGAGTGCTGTGATTACAGGAGTAATGTGAGGGCATTTGAGCTGAAGAGTTTTTCTTCAGTCAAGAAAGGAACTGTCAGGAATAATGCACCGTGGCCGACAAAGTCAACAACACAAATGAAGCTGCAATGGTGCACTGAGAACACAATGTTATGTTGTCTGTTACCACTAAATGCATTCTGATTATAGATGAGATTAAATCCTCTGCAACATTCAGTTTTTTTTATATAAACAATGAATCACATGACTACGTGTATGTGACAGCTTTCATGCATAGTAATAACCTGGGAATCCAGATGCCCCGCCCCTAGCAAATTCGAATTTGCACTGCACGGGAATCTGGCCCCAACGAGCAGAGCCCGCTGAATCACCAATCGGACCAATCAGATCAGTCTATCTGACAGATGCGGGCACTGGGCAGGCTTAACATGATGAAGACAGCACTGCGCTGTAGGAGTCGAAAAGTAAACTGCCAAGATGGCAGCTGCCGAAGGACCGCGTCCATTTAATTTAGCTTTGGAAGAAATGCTAAGCCAACTACACTACACAACTTATAAGCCTTAGTTTCCAGGAAGGACGTTTTGCTGTTTCGCCAACGGGATACGGCAAAAGCAAAATATATCAGTTAGCCCCACTGTTCGGCAAACAAATGGGGCTAGTGCAATAAATATGTCACCTTGTTTTTACTCAAATCTTTCTAGATTTGAGTCTGTATTTCCAGGCTAGCATATGAACCCACAGAAAATTAAAACCCGCCACTGCACTTCCCCTCTAGCCTGACACTGCCAGACCAAATTGCAAATGCGAATTAGTCTGGAACCTCTCAGTCCGTTGTCAGTTTCCAAGGGGCATTGTCAACGGCCATAGATCAAAACTCCTCTGGATGCACTTGAACAGACCAATAGACGGTATGAAAATAATGCCTCAAGTCTGACATTTTGGCCATCACCATCCTGAATTTTTGGAGCCAGAAGTGATCATATTTGGATGAGAGGGTGGGGCTTCAGGGGAGCGAGGGGTGGATCTGACTCAAACAGGTGAGTTATATAAAAATGCACCCCTCATACTGCTGTCATGAACTGAAAAATTAGCTATGGGGGCTAAAGCTTTTTTGTAACAGACTGTAAACATATTTGTTTTTGCTATAAAATTGGTCATTTGGGTATTTATGGGGATTTACTTTAGCATCCAGTGGCCATTTGAGGAACTGCAGTTTTTGGCACTTCTGTGTTGGCTTCATTTTTCAGACCGGAGGTTGCCACATGCATAGACCTACAACTAATCAGAGCAATGGAATATGTGATGTGATATGTGATGTAGCGCTGAGGGATGGACATATTAAAACAGACTACAGCATGAAGAGATGAGCTGTGATACTGTAGCATCAATATGCAAACTCTTGCCTATTTTACAATCAGAAATGGATCTTAAACACAAAGTTCCACATCACATCAGCTGCACCATCTTGGTTGTTTTTGAAAGTTTCTGAGCAGCACTCCTCTTTGCTAAGCTAGGTTTACGCTTGCTATAGTGTTTTTAGGTATGCAAGCCAAAATGTTTTGCATAAAGCAGTTGTGACCGGCTGGAAATCTGGCTGAATTGGAGGGGAACCAGACCCATCTGCCAGAGCAAATACAACATGAGCTTGCAGATTCATCTAGTCCCCAGGCTATGTCCCCTTAAAATCTACGGAACGATTCACCTTATTTGAGCTCATTATTTTGGCTTTATGTCTCACAACTTTACTGTTTTGATCACTCACATCATTTAACAGCAGTAGGCAGCTGTTCTCAGCAAAACAGACTTAAAAACCCACTGTACCCTATCTACTCAACACCCAACCAGGGAGACAAATTTAGTGACTAGCTGGTGAACACAGTGGAGCATTCAGCAACTGAACAGCGAGATATTTGCCCTCCAGAGGTAGTGGAGATCAAAACTGAGCTAAAAGGAGAGTAACTATCATGCTGCTCCATGTCTTCTGGCTGTGTAAATGAGCAAGTGCAAACTAACAAGTTCACCATATCAATGTAAAAAGTAAAGTTTCATTCTGTTCTGTTATTTAAATGATAATTAATCTGCTTTAAAGCTGAAATAATAATACATTTATAGAAGTATTGGATCAAATTCTTTGTTTTCTCTGCTCCAAGACATTAATTAACGCAGGTTTAAAGTGAGCCTAACTTTTAGTAATAATTACAAGATAATGGTAAATGCTAAAACATAGTTTAACAACAGCATGAGTAGATATGAGTCATAATGCTGGGGAGCTGACTCAGTAATGTCAGTTGCACCTATCCAAAGTTTGTGAAAATTGGCAAACATAAGCCACCACTGGTCAGATGGAGTAAGGCTCCAAAACCCCTCACTATTAAACTGAGCGTTTTATTGCTTATGAATTCAACTTTTTATTTGTAAGAGAAAGATTGTGTTATCTTCTTTAAAAAGTGACATATTTTCCCTTTTATAAAACAGATGCAAAAACAGAGTATAAAGTGAGAACTCTGTGACCCATGACTGTACTTTAGTTACATCCAGTAGCTTAGTAGGGAATGGAGAATCACTGTTACCGTAAGAGAAACTAGACTTTACAGTATCTTTATTTTAATCTCTCTCTGTGTTCACATCGTCATTTTGAAATAGTGTGCCAAAGCCGTTCCACAATCCCTCTCTCTGCACTAACCCCTGAGTAAACCTTAAAACCTGCAGGCAAGGCTCAAACCTTTTATTGGCCAATACAACCCATCTTAAAAAAATCTGAATGTGTGTGCTTTTGTGTTTACTCTGACTGTTGTAGTGTTCCTTTGTTGTCTGACCGCACCATAGAGCAATGCCTTGCAACAAACAGGCCTGGCTTTTAACTGCAGCAAGACGGTCACATTATATGACTTGTGTCATTCATTCATACTCTAATTCATTCATCCTTTGGTCCTTTTATTCATTCAACAGTCCGTTTTCCCTCCCTCGCTGCAGTTATTTACTCAGTGGAGCTGGAGAGACAGGCAGCAGAGTACTGAGTGATCAGCGCATTCCTGTCACGCCATTCCACGGCTCATGAATCACTTGAGTTGAAAGAAAAAGAAGCTAAGGATCTATTTGTATTACTGTGTGTTTATGTAATGTACAGTACAGGCCAAAAGTTTGGACACACCTTCTCATTCAATGCGTTTTCTTTATTTTCATGACTATTTACATTGTAGATTCTCACTGAAGGCATCAAAACTATGAATGAACACATGTGGAGTTATGTACTTAACAAAAAAAGGTGAAATAACTGAAAACATGTTTTATATTCTAGTTTCTTCAAAATAGCCACCCTTTGCTCTGATTACTGCTTTGCACACTCTTGGCATTCTCTCCATGAGCTTCAAGAGGTAGTCACCTGAAATGGTTTTCCAACAGTCTTGAAGGAGTTCCCAGAGGTGTTTAGCACTTGTTGGCCCCTTTGCCTTCACTCTGCGGTCCAGCTCACCCCAAACCATCTCGATTGGGTTCAGGTCCGGTGACTGTGGAGGCCAGGTCATCTGCCGCAGCACTCCATCACTCTCCTTCTTGGTCAAATAGCCCTTACACAGCCTGGAGGTGTGTTTGGGGTCATTGTCCTGTTGAAAAATAAATGATCGTCCAACTAAACGCAAACCGGATGGGATGGCATGTCGCTGCAGGATGCTGTGGTAGCCATGCTGGTTCAGTGTGCCTTCAATTTTGAATAAATCCCCAACAGTGTCACCAGCAAAACACCCCCACACCATCACACCTCCTCCTCCATGCTTCACAGTGGGAACCAGGCATGTGGAATCCATCCGTTCACCTTTTCTGCGTCTCACAAAGACACGGCGGTTGGAACCAATGATCTCAAATTTGGACTCATCAGACCAAAGCACAGATTTCCACTGGTCTAATGTCCATTCCTTGTGTTTCTTGGCCCAAACAAATCTCTTCTGCTTGTTGCCTCTCCTTAGCAGTGGTTTCCTAGCAGCTATTTGACCATGAAGGCCTGATTCGCGCAGTCTCCTCTTAACAGTTGTTCTAGAGATGGGTCTGCTGCTAGAACTCTGTGTGGCATTCATCTGGTCTCTGATCTGAGCTGCTGTTA